CATCATGGTGCTAGAAGGACAAAAGAGTTAGTCACCCCAAACCAGCATTCTGAGCTTTTAAAATTGGTTCCTGGAGGGGCCAGCAGGTAATGTGGTGATTGAACACTCGACTCTCACATAGCTGACCACAGTTCAAGTCCCAGACCTGGTGGCTTGCTTTCTCATTTTTCCTTCTCTCTGTCTTTCTCTGGTCAAACTGAAAAATAAAGATAATGATTTTTTTAAATTAGAATAAGTTATTCTTTTTTAAATAATTATTTATTTATCTGCTTATTGTCGATTTGTTACAGGACACATGCTCTCACCAGAGAGAGAGACACAGAGAGTAGAGAGAGAGAGAAGAAAAGTGAGAAAACAAGCCACCAGGTCCAGGACTCAAATTGTAGCCGGTCATATGGGAGTCCAGCACCCTAACCACCACACCACCTGCTGGCCCCAAAATAACTAATACTTAAAAAAAAAATAAAAAATTTGGTTCCTGGATTTTCCAAATTTGATTTGAATCCATTTAACACGAAAGCCAGTCAGGATTTCCTAAGCGCAGGAAGCCTTGGAGCGAGGCAGACCCCAAATAGTTACATTCAGAGGCTCCAACACTCCTACTGGGAGGGTTGACTGGCCAAGGCCAATGTGGTTTAACCCTGGGGTTTCAGAGTCTAATGTGATACACAGGAAGAAAATACCCGTTTTATCAACCACTGCAGCCATGCTTTCTCCCTCACCAGTCTGTCCTGCAAGGAACGTTCCCTTGACCGTGCATCCGAGTATGACTGGAGCGTCTGCGTGGAAGGCCTCGGGACAGTTTCCCAGACCTGCTTATTTGCAGGCACCCAATGGGATGCACGGGCAAAGTGCATTTGGCCCCTGCAATCTATAGCTATGACATCGGCCCTGTGTGACTTAGCTATGGGTGCACCTCACAGCACAATCCGAAATCATTCTTTTATTTATTCTTTGCCGTAAGTACAATTTCCAGGTCAAAAAGTGCGCCCATGCTAAAGGGTTTTAATCAGCGTTTCCAAAATGCTCGTTTATATATTTTTCCATAATGTATTATACATTTTTAAAATTATTTATTTATCTCATTCATTATTATTATTATTTTAATTTGACCAGAGAGAGTGGGAAAGAGAGAAAGCAAGCTGTCAGGTCTGGGATTCAAACCAGGATCAGCCATCTGAGAATCCAGCACCTTAACCACCATGCCACCTGCCAGCCCCATTATTTATTCATTTATTGGACATTTAATCACTGTGCATCATTACAGCTTGTGAAACGAATTTGCCCAGCATGAATACACTGTCTATCAGTCCAGTTAAAGATGTTAACAGGGCATTTTCCGATTCTGTGTGGCCTTGCCCATCTCCCCTGGAACCTCCGGCTAGCACCACTGACCCTGGCATCTGGTGGCCCATCCACATACGGAAGAGAGAAGTCAACACGGAGCCACAGTTTTGCTAACAACAGCATATAAGTAAAGACGCTGTCTGGAAAGAAGAGAGTTGACTACAAAGCGCCAGTAATTTACTGCCGTTACAGACTCCCTGCACATCCACTGGCCTAGGCTTTCTAAAGGAGGTGGGCACAGATGGCTTCCATCCAACTGCACAGCACGACCACCAAGTAGGAGCACAGCACAGACACTGGCCACCAGGTCAGCGATGACTGGAACAGACGTCACCCCAATCTGACCACTGGGCAGGAACGATAGAAAACGCACCTTGGACGCTCTGTAAGTCGGCAGGGAGGGGAACAGATGCAGCCAGAGAGGAAGGCACACACATCTCTGACTGGGAGGGAACTTGGACTTTTTTTTCCTTGAAAACTTATTTATTTAACTCATTTTATTTGTTGTTATTATTATTTTGCTTTTTATTTGACCAGCAAGAAAGAAAAAGTGAGAAAACAAGCCTCCAGATCTGGTACTTGAACCGCAGTCAGCCATGTGGGAGTCCAGCGCCTTAACCACCGTGCCACCTGCCGGCCCCAGAACTAGGACTCTTGAGTGTGAGCTCTGGGAATAAGAGGGTTAAGAGAATGCACAGCGACCATGCACCTCAGTCCTGACTCAGCAAAAAGAAGGACAGATCTGGGGTCAGTCGCTGTGTCCTAGAACTGAGAAACCAAAACTGGACATCACCTCCAGGCCCCTGTGAACACTGGAGAATGGAGGACATGGTTTTAGACTATTCTGGAACTGAGGAGTATATAACGTGGTCACACGAGGCACCGATGCCTGGGCCTGCTTTCTGGCCTGAGAATTCCCCTCTCACCATCTCTGCCCACGGCAATTCAAGGGTGCTTGTGTCCTTGCACTGGTGTGTGTGTGTGTGTGTGTGTGTGTGTGTGTGTACGCACGCATGCACATACACACATGTGAGATAAAGGCAGACAGGCAAGGCGGTGGTCCAATGTGTGGATCAATGCAAATAGCCTGATAGAAGAAAAGCTGCCTTGGGTTATTCTTACTTACTTACTGACTTACTTACTGACTTACTTACTTACTGACTTACTTACTTTTTACTTACTTAAGATTTTTGCCATAGGGTGTGTGTGTGCTTACCAGACAGAAAGAGAGAGGGAAAGTGAGAAGCCACTCTCCCCTCCAGGGAGATGGCCACACTGCAATCCCTTCTCCTTCAATCTTCTTTTGGGATTTTAGGCATACACGCACACACACACGCCCAGTGTGATTCTCAGGCTGTCGGGTCCAGGACTCTGGGACTCAGAACCCTGTGGGAGTTCAGAACCCACTACACCATCTGCTGGCCCCTAGGTTAGTACTTTTTGTTGTTGTTGTTGTTGTTGAGAGGTTTTTACTATAGGGCGCAAGCACTCGCCAGAAAGACAGAGAGAAGACAGACAGTGAGAAATCACCCCCCACCCCGCCGCCGGGAGGATGGCCACGCCGCAATCCCTTCTCCTTCTCCTCCATTCTCCTCTTGGGATCTTAGGCACGCACGCACACGCACCCAGCCTGAGTTTTAAGCCACTAGGTCCGGGACTCGAACCACAGTCAATTACATGGGAGTCCAGTGACATAGCCATTACACCAACTGCTGGTCCCTCCTAGGTTAGTAATTTAAAAAAACAATTTGTGGGACCAGACACCACAGTATAAAGTGATGCTCCGTAAGGCTGACCCAGGTGGGAGAGGGTACCAGTTCCTGTCTAGAGACCTCCTGGAAGCACACACGTGCCCAGGATCGGGGCTGGCTAATGCTGGGCTGGGTCATGCATGCAGACCTCAGGGGTGCTGTATCTTGCTCTCCTTCTCATTCAGAGGATACATAAAATCAACTACAAAAAGGGACCAGCAGATGGCATAAGGGTTACATTCCTGGACTCCCACAGCAGCAACTGAGGTTCGAGTCCCGGACTTGGTGGCTTAAAACACGCCAGGTGAATGTGCACATGTGCCCAAGATCCCAAGAGGAGAATGGAAGAGAAGGGATCGTGGGGTAACCATCTCCCTCGGGGGTGATTTCTTGCTTTTTGTCTCTCTGTCTCTCTGGTGAGTGCACTTACCCTATAGCAAAAATCTTCCTCTAATAAAGAAAAAGAAAACTACAGAAAGTCATCCTACAAGGTTCATTAACAGGAAGCATCTATTCCTTTTAGCTACCCAAATCACTTCTCATTCCAACCTACTCCCTGCTTGCCCCGGTGGGAATACCTCTCTCTGCCCTGGAACCCTACCAAGAGGGCGGCCCTATTTTACCTGGCCTATCACCAGTTACACAAATAAATGAGAACCTGGAGGAAAATATTACATCTGCTTTTATTGGGTTGTCAGAGGAGTCAGGCGCACTTTTGCACAGAAAAACGTAGAAAAAAATACGTCATGATTTTTCCAGCAACCCTACAGTCCCCAGGGTTAGCAGTGACAGAAAGCAGAGCAACCTCCCAGGCACCAGAGGCCCCCAGAGAGCCTGAGTCAGCGAGGGAATGGGAACGGCCACTATGAAGCCAGCAAGCCAGTACCCCTAGGGAGGGTGGCCTGCTCTTGGCCCAGCCGGTCTGTTCCTTTCCACAAGGGCGATAGAGAATGAACTGCATCCAGTTGCAAAGCAAGTCCTGTTAAAAAATCAACTCTGGCTTCAAATGAGCAAGCCCTCTGTGTCAGCATCTGGCTCCAGCACATCGAACCGAGGGGAAGATTTTCCCAAAGGCTGAGAGTTAAGCTACTTACTGACAGCTGGAAGCTTAATTACTGCTTTTCTTAGAGCATTAACTCCCACTAGCCAGTGACTACACATCCTATTACCCATGTAAATGAACATGTGTTGAAAAATCTCAAAGAAATCAGCCTACAGTTAAAGGAAATCAGGCAGTGGGATTAAAAGGGGAAAAAAAGCCACTGAGTCCCACCCCTCCCTTCTGTGTTCTTTTCATTGGGATTTCCAATAAATATGTCTTTGTCAAGGATGCTTGGCTACCAAGAAACAACCAAATTCCTAGAGCCTAGAGACACTGAATACTTGGCTGAAGCTTCTGTGTTCCTCCAGAATCTCTGCACCTCCAGGCCCCTTTGGGAATGATCTTTTTGTTCTTTTTTTTTTTTACAGTTTTTTGCTATAGGGCATATGCGTTCAATGGAGAGAAGGTGGAGAGTGAGGATAGCAGGGAATAAAACATTAACACCCCCCCAAGGGGTGGCCACGTCAAGATCCTTTCTCTGTACTCCTCTCGGGTTTTGGGGCACACACACACACACACACACACACACACACACACACGTGCCTGGCATGTTTTTAAAGCCGCCAGGTCTGAGCCTCAAACTATGCGAGCAGCCCTGTCGGATCTAGCTCCTTAACCTCTGTGCCACCTGCTGGTCCCATCTCTGGGAACGTTCATCAGAGCCCAATGTCCTTCCGCCAAGCTACTCCAAGAACATGGGTCTAACCTCATCTTTGCTTGAGCACTCACTTGTCCGATCACGGTATGACAAACCTCATGACGTCCCTCCAAATGCAGTTTATTTAGTGCATTGAACTTACCACCGCCTTTGTAGCAAACATGTACTTGTCCCGAAGCTGAAAGTCTCTCACTTCCTCAAGGATCACTTCTTGGTTTTCCCGGGACTGGAAGAAGTCCGTACTTCGGAAAACCGTGGAGTAGCCCGAGGGTTCGTGCCGTTCAATGTAGATTGTATTTGGCTTGTCATAGGGATCAATCCCCCTGGAAGAAAAGCAGTGGTCACTTCCACGTTAATCATCAGGGGTATGGCGGCTTTGTCATGCGGACAGTCAAGGAGGATTTAAGGCCACCACAGCACGACCTGTAAGTGGTACTTTGTGCCTTAATCTCTGGTGTCTCCTTAGCTCAGGACAGGGGCAGAGGAATGGCCACTGACGGTGTTATGCTCTTGCTGTTGGGATTTTGCTTGTTTTTCCAACATAATCTTTTCCTTTTATTTATTTCTTCTATGAGTGAGAAAGAGACAGAGAGACGGCACCTCCACAGGGCCCTGATGCCATGACCCACCCCCAGCTCAGCAAGCAACAGCTCACAGGCTCAGCGTCCAAGGGCTCAAGGAGGTCTCGGGGTCTCTGGCCTCAAACCCGCAACCTTCCCATGTGGGTCAGCCTCAAGCGCATCCTTCTCTACAACCCCACCACCACCCGGCTCCTGGTGCTGCTATTTCTAAAGCCTCCTAGGCAAGCTCTGGCCCTGCTTGAGAAGAGCGAGGTGGATGGAGCGTCTCAGAGTCAGTAAGCAACAGACCGCCCGCGGCCGTCGGCGAGTTTCCAGCCTTGAGAGGGAGCCTGAGAAGAATGAACATGCGGTACCCCAACGCACACCGCCCCCAGAACAGCAGAAGAAACCACGTTAGGAACCTGCGAGCTTGACCTCGGCAACGCACCCTTCCCTGTCCCTGTCTGTCCCGATCCACACCAAGAGCACTCAATGCCCGTGAGGCTCCTTCAAGAGCCCCTTCTTGTACCTCCTGATCTCAACGTCCTTCACAGACAGAGGGTACAATCCCCCTCGGCTTCGCGGACATCACAGTGCTGTGTGGAAATGCCCTCCTCTCTGAGCTCACCACCTAATCCTATTCCCCTCTGAGGTCGAGTTCAAGTTCCCATCTCTTCTCTTCCCCCAATTCTAGGCCTCTTTTTCTTTCTTTCTTTCTTTCTTTCTTTCTTTCTTTCCTTTTTTTTTTTTTTTAAGATGTTTTCTTTAGGGCATGTGCACTCACTACAGAGAGACAGAGAGAGGAAGGTAAGAAATCACCCCCCAGGGGTATGACCACACCATAATTCCCTCTCCTCTTCTCTCCTCTTGGGATTTTGGGCACACACACACACACACACACGCCCGGTGTTATTTTAGGGCCACTGAGTCTGGGACTTGAACCATGGTCAGCCATATGGGAGTCCGGTGCCTTAACCACCATGCCACCTCCTGGTCCCAACTGCAAGCCTTTTATGTGCACTTTGACTCCAAACAAAGGTTTAAAATGGTTGTGGCTAGGTGTATTACAGAATCAGTCCCGCTGCTTCTTACACGCTATGCAAAACTGTTCCCCACGGTGTCTCCACTTCCCAGCGAGACCATGGTGCCTGCAAGACCACGTCTTTCATTCCTTTCTATCCCACAGGGCTCCTAGCTAAAGTGACCCTTGCAGCATTGGAACCACAGACGGTAATCACAGAAACTAACCCAACCTGAAAACTGTAGAATGACCACATCAGTTGGGGCCAGAAAGTGGTACGGTGGTTAAGGCACTGACTCCATAAGACCAGCCATGGTTCCAGTCCCAGAACCAGCGTGATCTTCACATATACATTCATGCCCAGAATCCTGAGAGGAGAACAGAGGAGAAGGGCTTGTGGGGGCCATCCTGGCCCCCCAATGGAGGTGATTTCTCACTTTCCCTCTCTCTGTCTCTCGTGAGAGCACATGCCCTTTGGCAAAAACCTAAAAAATAATTTAAGAAGAAAGACTATATCAAACTCCCTCCAAAAGGAGCCCCTGCGCTAGCGCATTGGCTGGGGGAAGAACAGCTGACCTGCTGCAGGTTTTCTAACGCTGACAAGAACACCATGGCCACGTGGACCACTCGGAGGATGGAAAGATAACTGAGACAGTCAGGAAGGCAGCTCCCTGGTGAGGATGCAGCGATCACTTGGGGAAGGCAGAGGCCTTCGCTTTGTATCAGCCTCTACACGGTTCCACATGCACAACGGCTCACCACATAAGGAAGTGACCGCGTCAGACTCCTTCAGAGATGTACTGTCCCGAGCGTGTTCTGGGGGGCAAAGGGAAGGGAGAGGGGAAAGTGAGAAATAAAAAAAGAGGCTGGCCCTGGGCACCATGGTTAAGTGCTAAGTGAGGAAGCCAGATCTCACATGGCCAACCAGGGTGCAAGTCCCAGTGGCTTGCACAATGTCAGGTGCATGCACATGTCCAAGGTCCCAGCAGGATGGGGACTGGAGGAAAGTGGCTGGATCACAGCCAGGCCTCACTGAAAGGTGCATGCACATCCCTTGGTCTCTTTCCCCTTTCACCTAACCCTCCCCCTTGTTGTGTCTTCCCCCCCCGTATAAAAAAAAAAAAAAAAAAAAAAAAAAAAAACTAGCAGGCGTGGTGGTTAAGGCACTGGATTCCCACATGGTTAACCATGGTTCAAGTCCCAGATTCACTGGCTTGAAAAATCACACCAGACGCATGCGTACAGATGCCCAAAATCCCAAGAGGAGAATGGAGGAAAAGGACCTGCAGCATAGCCATCCTCCCTCCCCCCATCCCCCCAGGAGGTGCGTTCTCACTTTCCCTCTGTCTTTCTCTCTCCAGCAAGCACACACACCATATGGCAAAAAACTAAAAAATTTAATAAAAAAGAAGAAGAAGAAAGAAAGAAACAGAAAAGAAAACAGTTTCTTTGTACAGCGGGGAAGACCTGATGTTTGCCCTACTAGCAGGAGTCTCAGAGGGCAGTGGAGAGACCAGAGGCCTTGGGCTGCTGTGGGAGGAAGAGATTCTTCACTATCAGAGGCTCTGAGCGTTGGTGTGGGTGGGTGGAAGCATGTTCTCTTTCTTTCCACAATTAGAAGTTACTGATTAAAGTACTTCCTCTAGCCTAGAGGATATGCAAATTAACACGAGTCTGCTTGGTATTTTTAAAAGGCAGAGAGGAAGGAACCTGTCTTGAGACATTCTGAGACTGAGCTCACCTCTATTATTCCCTCTGAGCCAAAAGCAGCACCACCACCTGGAGGGTGGCAGGGCTGTGACTCCAGTCCCCATCTCTCTTCCAGATCCTTACGGGGACCGCCTGCAAGTTCTTACATTTCCCATCACCTAGCTTCCCACTTTTTCAATTTTATTTTTATCTATTATCATTGTTATTATTATTTTAGATTTTTGCCACAGGGTTCGAGCGCTTGCCAGAGAGAAACAGAGACAGAGAGAGAGGGAAAATAAGAAATCACCTCCCTCCAACACCAGGGGGAATGGCCACAGGCAATCCCTTCTCCTTCATTCTCCTCTTGGGATTTTGGGCACACAGGTGTGGACAGAAGTCTGACTGCTTTTCCTATTTTCCAAAATCTTTTCAAGGGGAACTGGGGAAGTCATGTCCACAGACATTAACAGACCATTTATTTTCTATTAACAGGATTCTTCCTACCTCCTGTCCCTGGCATAGTATCTTTGAGATGTATATTTCAACCAATTACAGTATATTCTTGTGCTTATCTCTTCCCAAGACACAGAACTTCTCTTTTCCTTGAGATGTAGATTAAGCCTTTCTTTAACTAATCTCTTCCCAAGACACAGATCTTCCCTTCCAATCACCAACCTAGGAATTGTAGAACCCAATTATAACCTACAGCCCCCCCACAACATGTCCCGCCTTTTTGGGCCAGGCCAATGGAAAATCTCTTCACTAAATGTTGTCTGTCAATCTCAAAAACAAATAAAAGGAACCCCTGTACATGATCACCCCAAGAAAAGGCATGTACGCCTCTTCTCCAGGCCTAGGTCACTCACATTTGGCTTGGAACTACACCGCATTAATTATTAATTATTAATTTCACAGTTGGTTATTTTTTCTGTCGACATAGGCAACACGAGTCTGGCATGTTTTTCACGCTGCCGGGTCTGGGACTTGAACCGCAGAGTCTGCCACATGGTACCCAGCACCTTAACCACCACGCCACCTGCAGGCCTTGCCTTCCCATTTCTTATGCTCACTGGCTCATCTGTCCTCTTTGCACTCATTTGGACATTTCGGACCTTGCCGTTTCTGAGCACAGTATCTCATCAGCATTCACCGACCTCCTCACCTGCCTGACTCCCAACTCCTCAGTAACGCTCCCTAGGGCATCCCCAGCCCCTCTCCCAAAGGCCTTATCTGGAGCTGTCTAGCCCATCTCCAGCTCTGAACAACACACACCTCTGGTTGTCCTCAGCCTGCCACTCCAGAGCTGCCAAGCATGGCTGAACAAATGCCTGTGATTAAGGACAATCCTAGGGGAGATCCTCTAAGTGGCCCAGAAACCCCGCCTCAGACTTGGAGCTATATGAAATAAGCGATGCCAGTCCTGTTGCCCTCTTACCTGAAACATCTGCTCGTCTGCGCAAAGACGGAAGGTACAATAGAAAACTGACTCATGGTGTTCCCTCCTTGACTAACCCTGCTAGTAAAGAACAATTTGTCCCTTTAAATTGCAAATAAAGCAAGAGAACTTGGCAATGGTACGCCCTGGGGAGAGGTCGCCCTTAGAAGAGAATGTGGTTATTTCACTAAGATCCGTCCAATCTCTGCCCAAGGACTATAACAGGGTCAAAAAGAGCTGCCCTCTATGGAAAGGTAGTTCCTCGAGCTGAGGGTGTTCGGCTGTAAGGTCCTTCCCTGCACCTCCTCCATCTTCACCATCCCCAATTACTAAGGTGGCAATATCCACTCAAGGTCTCCACCTTATACACTGAGCTAAGACAAGCACAGACCAGATCTCCATCTTACTGGGCCATTACATTCCATGACATGGAAAGTCAAGACAAATGATCAAAAGCAAATGACAAACTGGAAAATATACATAGAAAGCACATATACAGCCTAACTCATGCCACAACTAAAGGTCTAATCTCACATATATAAAGAGCACCTACAATTCAATAACAGAAATCCTCACTTTTAAAAAGTAGGAAAAAGGCAAAGGGCATGAACAGGCATGTCACGCACACACGCAAAAAAAAAAAAAAAAAAAAAAAAAAAACTTAACACGACCCTTAAAGAGATAACAGATGGTCAAAATCATTCATATGAGAAAAAAGCAAATTCGAACTAGATTAGGTTACTATTTTTTACTTAACACATTGGCCGCAGAGAGAGAGACACTTCTATATTGTCGCAGTGAGTGTAAATTTGACACCCTTTCTATGGAAAATCTGGCAATCTCTATGAGAGTTACGATGTCAAGGAATCAGCCGATGGGGATATATATATCAGGGCATAAAACTGTGGACAGAAGTCGACTGCTTTTCCTATTTTCCAAAATCTTTTCAAAAGAGGCTGGGGAAGTCATGCCCACAAACATTAGATGACCATTTATTTTCTATGAACAGGATTCTTCCTACCTCCTGTCCCTGGCATAGTATCTTTGAGATGTATATTTCAACCAATTACAGTATATTCTTGTGCTTATCTCTTCCCAAGACACAGAACTTCTCTTTTCCTTGAGATGTAGATTAAGCCTTTCTTTAACTAATCTCTTCCCAAGACACAGATCTTCCCTTCCAATCACCAACCTAGGAATTGCGGAACCCACCTATAACCTACAAGCGCCCCCCCCTTCTACATGTCCCGCCTTTTTTGGGCCAGACCAATGGGAAATCTCTTCACTAAATGTTGTCTGTCAATCTCAAAAACAAATAAAAGGAACCCCTGTACATGATCACCCCAAGAAAAGGCATGTATGCCTCTTCTCCGGGCCTAGGTCACTCACAGTTGGCTTGGAAATAAACCGCATTAATTATTAATTATTAATTTTCCAGTTGGTTATTTTTTCTGTCGACAACCCTTAAAGAGATAACAGATGGTCAAACTCATTCATATGAGAAAAACGCAAATTCGAACTAGATTAGGTTACTATTTTTCACTTAACACATTGGCTGCAGAGAGAGACTCTTCTATATTGTCGTGGTGAGTGCAAATTTGACACCCTTTCTATGGAAAATCTGCAATCTCTATCAAAGTTAACATGTCAGGGAATCAGTCCATGGGGATACATCAAGGCATAAAACTAACAAAAGACATCGCTTTGGGGGAACTTTCATTCTTTAAATGATTGGCATAATAATGGTATACTGGAATGAGATAAAATGCTCTGTCAAAAGGAAATACAACATGGGAACCAGCAGTTAGCGTAATGGCTATGTCACTGGACTCCCACAGAGTCAACCACAGTTCGCATCCCAGACCCGGTGGCTTAAAACTCACGCCAGGCGCGTGTGCGTTCGTGCCCAAGATCCCAAGAGGAGAATGGAAGAGAAGGGACTGCGGCATGACCATCCCCGCTGGGGGGGTGATTTCTCGCTTTCTGTCTCTATGTCTCTCTCTGTCTGTCTGGCGAGCGCATGCGCCCTATAGCAAAAACCTCTCCAAAAAACAAAAAAAGGAAATATAGCAGATTGTGGATTACAGAAGAGTAGCTACAACTTAAAATAGGGTCTTCAGGAGGCCTCATTTAGAAGGTGTTATTTGCACAACTTGAAAGAGTTAAGAGGGTAAGTAATAAACATATCCTGGCCAAGAGCAGCTTCTAAACAGCAGGTGCAAAGGCCCTGTGCCCTGTGATGAGAATATACCTGGCATTTAATCTGAGAGAGGTGACAATGCATTAGCACAGTGGTCTCCAACCTTTTGGCACCAGAGACTGGTTTCATGGAAGACAATTTTTTTCACAGACCAGGGTAGGGGATGGTTTGGGGATGATTCAAGCACATTATTTGACTTTTATTATTATGACATTGTATTAATAAGGACTGGTACTCATCCATGGCCTGGAGGTTGGGGATCTCTGCATTAAACAGGTCAAAGCAGAGCAAAGGACATGATCTGATTGGTTATCCATAGGATGAATCAGTCATGCACTCTGAATTAATTAGAGGAGAGCAGAAGACCCAGCTGGGAGACTAACAAGGGACAGTGGAAGCTTGGAGTACAGCAAGACCTGAGCATTAGATTCTGGATAGACATTGAAAGTGAGTCAGCAGGTCGAACGTAAAGCACAAAACCAGTGTGGAGTCGATGACTCCAAAGTTTTTGGCCCAAGCAACTATTCGATTCTCAGGAAAGTCATGATGCATTTTTGCATAGAAAAACAGAAAAATGCATCATGACCTTCCAGACAACTTAGTAGAATTTGAAATGGGGAAGGCTGTGGGTGGAGCCGACTTGGGCCATAAAGATCAAGGGACAATTTGGGAGATACAAGTTTGCAACATCTATTTGTCATCCATGCGAATAGGCTGATAAGCAGTTAGACAAGCTCAGGATCCAGCAATCCCATTCCGGGAACTCCATCCCACACGTGGCCAGAGCATGTACACCTTCACATGCTCCAGGTCATACACTGTGTCACCGTAGCAGTGAAAGAGGAGAAGCAGCTATGACAAGAGGCGACCATACTTCTCACAGCGCAGCCTGCTCATTTCACGCCTCTTCTCAAAAACCTACAATGGTTCCCCACCTTCAGAATTTAGTCCAAATTCCTTTATCGAGCACTCAGACACTGTTATGGACTTCCCTTTCCAAACTTCCCCCAACATACTGTCTCAAAGTAAAACAGCGTCGTTCACTCAAGCACCATGGCCGCCCAGCTCCGCACCTCTGGCTAGCCCGTTCCTCTGTCTGGGATTCCCATCCTCCACGCCACATCTACGTGTGTTGCAGGTCTGAGATCAAGGACAGCCTTCCTGGGACGCTGCCTAGGATTCTCCCATCTGGGAGAAATAGGTCCCTCCTCTGGTTTTCCCTGCTGTGTCTGTTACCTCTGTGCTGCTTCTTTGTTTTTTTTTGAAAAGAATTATTTCTTTACTTTCATTTATTCATTCATTTATTTTCATTTGACCAGGGAGAAGGAAAGTGAAAAAGCAAGCCGCCAGGTCTGGGACTCGAACCATGCTCAGTCATGTGGGAATGTCCAGCGCCCCAGCCACCATGCCACCTGCTGGCCCCCCGTGCTTATTTCATGGTGTGTGTTCTGTACATGAAATGTCTTTTCTTCCCACCTAAACCATAATCTCCTTAATAACGATACCCATAAATTATTCAAGTTCTTAAGGCCCCGAAGTATCTAGCAAGTTTTATATTTAGCAGATATTGAAAAAAATATGAATGAACAAATGCATGCCTTTTATACAGAGAAAAATCTCTACTGCTGATAGGATGCTCTAGAAATGAAGGTCTTTGGAAATGCTAGTATATGTAAGAGCTTCAAGATTCCCCTGGGTTTCTCGATGGACTGAAAAATGCAAAGGCTCTTCCCTCCTCTCACCAACAGCCTTCCCTCTCATTCCCCCTCAGTGAGTGTGCTCCACTTTCAGCCCAGGTCTGGAGAACGTTATTTCCTGAACCACATGCTTCACATTTCAGGAGACGGCAGGTCTTTCCCCCATGAAGGAACTAGGACTGCAGAAAAGATGCTACAGGGGCTGGATGGTGGTGCAATAGTTACACAGCTGCACCCACGTGGAAAGGTCCTTGGTTCACATCCCAGGACCTCCCTGTGCAGGCTGGGCAAGTGCCTGTCACCTAGGCTGGCTGAACCTGGGGGAGGACCGTGTCAGGGGTGCTATCTCTGTTTCTCGCTCT